CAGATGTGGGGCAGACAAAACACTCCAGTACACATAAAGTAAAAATCATCAAGCCTTTAAAACTATTCCTTATAAAGAAGGAAGCTCTTGTGTTAGGAGGCATATTGCTGTGACTGATTCTGGGAGAAAGAGATGCTAGTTGTGCCATAACATTCATAGAAGGCAACATATCTCTTTCAGTCACACTTTGTCTCTCCCTTGAGATACTGGTGATGAAGGTAGTTGTTCATTGCAGAGATATTGATTTAGATAAGGAGCTATTCACCTGTAGTGTAGAAATAAGGATTGCCCTTGTGTGCTCACTTCTTTCCTGACTCATCCTTGTAGGTACTGGGTGCATGTAAGTCTGAACTTTTGGCCACTCTATTGCTCAGGCTCAGCTTTATGCCAGTGCTTAGGTATCAAGTCATGTCTCCCTACTATGCTGTCTGAGCTATCTTTAGCACACAAAGAGAATGTCAAGAACCTTGGTCAGCCTTGGATTCCCAGTCCAGCCTTCTTACTCTAACTTGAAAGATGGAAAGCTGAATTCTAATCAATTGTCTCGTGTGTGTGTGTGTGTGTGTGTGTGTGTGTGTGTGTGTGTGTGTAAGGGGGGGTTATTGACACAAATCCTGCATAGGAGGTAGATTGAATGGGAGGATTTGTGCACACTATGCTACAGGACCTTCTGATCATCTCTGCCATGCTGCACTTACCTCACAGTAGGAAGCTGTGGAATGTGTTCTTCCTGGGATCTTATTTTGTTCCAGAAGTCACACTGCAGGATTTCCAACCAGGGGGGGCATCTCAATTAGTGAATGCTAACTTATAAACGTGCTACTCCACATGTAAAGGAGCAAATCATTGGTTCTTTCCTAGCTCTATTTCCTGGCTAGCTTCAGTGAAAAGACAAAGGCAACTTCTTAGGTAGGCTAGAAAGGTGGCAAGGTGATGGGTCAAAAGTCTGCACACAACCAACTTTTATATGAGCCTAACCTCCCAAATTCAGTACACCTGGGGGTCATCAGTGAGCACAAAGTATTTCTATGGAGTCCACTGTGTCTGCCACCTCTATTGGTGGTCTTGCCTCTTATTTCTTCCTGTCTCTTCCTCCTCAAAGCACCCTATTCCATGCTTTTCCCTTCCCACTATGCCTCCAAATACTCCAGATCCTGCCACTTGCTTCTCTGAGGCTTTCACCCTCTGGGCATGTTCCTGGTGTCACCTCCTGACAGGTCACATGGCAAAGCTGTGACAGGTGCTGGTGTTTAACTTCACAGAACATTTCTGTAGATAGACCTGCTGCTGTAAATAGCAGGTACAGAAGGATGGCAGGCATGAGAATCACCTGAGGTGACTTAATCATTTCCATAGATGAGCTGGGCTGGACTTGCCTCAAGAAAATGATGGTGGCTTTGATGATCTGAATAGTCTAGTCAAGAGAGAGAGGAAAGGACACCTAAAACTGTCCCCAGGGGTTTTCAAAGAGAAGAGATAACATTCTGTCTAGAACAATAATCTCCCAAAGAAGGAAGGCTGAAGTCCTTGACCTCTATTCCTTCCAACTGTGCCCTAAGGAGTCTCCTGAAGAAGCAAAAAGGAAGACAGATGGTCTATGTACAGCAGGCTGGGGCTCAGGATATAAGGGAGCAGGAGCAGGTCAGAGAGGCTCTGGGTGTCTCCTCTGACTTGCTGTCTGATCTATTCATCCCCTAATACTTACATTCCTTCCAGCTGTGAGATATCTTCCTGCTCTCCTCTACCTTCTGTGTGAGATCTGGAAATAGCAAGGAACTAAAGTATCAAGCTAAACATAGAGTAAAGTACAATCTGCTTGAAATTTTGAGCTCATGAAATTATTCTTGTTCCCCATATTGTCGGCCCCACCACTTACACCATACATAAACACAGTGTCCAACACAACTCCTGGGTTAATAGGCTACATTTAGATGACTGCTGATTATAAGCTGTCCATGCATCCTCCTTCTCACTCTGTTTTTACCTACATCTTCATTCTGAAGACAGAGGTGAGCCTGGGCAATAAATTGGGCTCTCTTTGTTCTGTGACCTTATTATATGAGAACTTGCACCTGTGTCCATAGAACCATGAAGCTTGCCCACTCAACCCCAAGCACATATTCTGGGTCAGAATAGATATCCCCTCACATCCTATATGAAGGGCCCTATTTCAATCTATGTAATTTCAATCTAGTTAGTACAATGAATTGTGTTATCATCTTTGAAATACTCCCATCATTCTAAGCAATAACCTCTATTTTTAAAAAAAAATTTAATGGGAGTGTCCAAAGGAGTAGGGTGGATTCATAATACTTCAGGGTACCTGGCTTGAGATTGAACTTCACACATAAAGAAAATTTGGGCAACTATCCTAGACTTCTGTTTTAGTGTCTTTTGTTAGAGAAAATATTACAGTCTGGTAGTCTTTATTAGAAGAAATATCTTCCAATATGTCTTTGCCATCCCGTAGATAACAGGCATCTTGCATGCCCAGCTCTCTCTCTACATGTCATCTTAGCATCTTTCGATATTTCCATCTTCTCCATGTCCCATCTTCTGCTTCCCTCAAGCTCTGCATCCTGCCTCTTTTCTGAAGCACAGAGTCAGAAGTTTATAGTCAGTATGAGAAAGGGCTGTTTCACATTTCCATGACAGATACTTAAGAAGACCATTATGTAATGAGTAGAGGGTTCTCTGTGCCTCAAGGGCTGAAGGTACTGAAGTTCATGATTGGTTGTTTTACTCTGATCCTGTGACGTGGTAGCACATCATGGTAAAACATAATTCTGAACAAAACCATTTGTCTTGTACTATCCATTTCATAGCCAGGAGAGAAAGGGTTTGGGGCCAGGGAGCTATGGTCTCCTATTACCTCAAAGTTCACACCTTATACATCTAAAATATCCCATTAGTCCCTACCTCTTAACATGCTACCTCCCAATGTCATCAGGTTTTTTGACTAGGTTTCTGACATGAGCTTTTAGGCAACATTAAAGATCCAAACTACAGTTTAGACACAGTTCATGGGTGTGTGATTATCTTACTGTGTCAGCTTTGGAGGCTGTCTGATATTGCCATTGCTGGAAGACCATCTTAGCCACATTTTGCAGGGTAGTCTCAGACCAGCAGCGCAGTGACACTTGCCAGAATCCTGCAAACCACTCCAAATGACTGAGAGTCTATGATTTTTTAAGTCCCCACGAATTTATATGCAAATTAAATTCTGAGAAACATTTCATCTTTAGTACAAACTTAACAAAATCTGTTTTCTCATTTAATGAGGTAGTATTATCATAACGACCCCCATTTTATATGGATTGCACCTTCTCTTTCTTCCTTTTGTGCTTTTATAGATATATATCATGAAGACAGCATTGCAGATAGTGCAAATAAACCCTCTATTTTAGAGAAAGCTTAGGTATTCCCCATGGACCGCCCCAGTTCTGTCTTGCCTACACAGAGGTATACAGCCTCCTGTAAGGCCATGCTTTATTCTGCAGGTCAATCAATACTCCTCAAGTACTCTTGAGCCTAATCAGAGCTTCTCCTCAGTATCTTCCTAGTGTCTAACCTGAGCAGGGCCTTTCTTATTTTCACCACAGAAGAAAACACTGGCCCTGCTTGAGGCTCCTGCCAGGCCCATTGTAGGGAGCTCATCTGTTTTGTTAAATACAATTAATTACATGGTAGCAAGTATTTGGTAGTATATGCTTTTACAGAATAAAGGAGTCCTACCAAAGATAGCCAAACTTCCTATCTGCCATATTTATTCATTGTCAAACTCGCAAAAGGTGACACTGGAGACAGAAGATTCATTTGGGTATGCTTGATTTCATTCTTGTTTTACTCTTTAAAAATCTGCCATGGGTCAGGCAACCCAGTTTCAATAGAGGAAGTACAATTCATCTCTGTTAATCTTTGAAACCAAGTCTCAGAAGCACAGAATGCCTGGCCTCATGTCCATGAGAAAGGAAAAGGATTCTGCCATTTGGCTTTACGGTGTTTGAGTTTTCAGAGGAGCAAAGTATTTGAGCAGGACTCAAGAGAAAGGATTTTCTTTTGTTGCAATAAGCCAAGGAATAGGATGAGGTAAGGGCCCAGACTGCACCAACAATACAATAAGAAATTAAACTGAAGTAAGTTTTTCCACCTTCAATTATTCTGAATACCAAACTGCTAACTCTGTGAGTATACTAAGAGTGTATCTTCAGAACAACCCACAAAACTAGGTATGAAATCTTTGAGGTATTCTAGTCCATGGGTACATTGCTATATGGACTTATAGTTATGTCTATTTGATAAGTTTCCAAGCATTGCCTGAATCTACACAAAAATAATTCATTCATCAATTCCCTAGTCTACCCCACTATAGTTTAAACTTTTAAATTTCAAAGTGACAACTAAAATTGTATTTATTTATTATGTATAGCACTACATATACATTGTGGAATGGCTCAATCAAGCTGGTTATTTATTGTCTGTCTCAGGTTGAAAGTGAACTAGCAACTTTGAATTTATTTGTATTACAATATAAAATATATTACAGATATTTCTACTATAAGAACTTAGTTAGCTTATATTTTATATACAAAGGCATTTCTATATGTAAAATATTGTTTCTAGAAACCTAAAGTTACTTGCAGTGTTTTATTATCCAATTGATCATGACAGATTTGTTTAAACTGTCAACCTTTATTAATGTACTGGGGTATTTATAAAGCACTTTCTTAATTAACTGTTATAATAATAATTGAAGAAAAATATTGGTGGTACACTATTATCAAATGCACTCAAAAAGTTAAAGCAATTTATCTGGAAATACATTTATCCAAGGCTCCATCAAAGAATGTCTTACTTTGTACCACCTTATTATCTCTTTGTTGAGTGTTCAGCCCCATTCTATGGCCTTCCCTCTTCCACTTACACCCTCAGATTGGGTAATAGCTCTGTTCTGAGACTAACAGTTCTGTGTTGTTTTCTGCCTACCTCTCTCTTCCCAGAAGGCCAGGGCTTTGTGAGTGAAGATGAATACCTGGAAATCTCAGACATCAAACGTGATCAGTCTGGAGAGTACGAGTGCAGCGCCTTGAACGACGTTGCTGCACCTGATGTTCGGAAAGTAAAAATCACTGTAAACTGTGAGTTGATTGGCTATCAGGGAAATCCAGGGGGAAAGGGGCCAAGGAGTAAACCAACCTGTTAAAAGTGACTACCTTTTCCTCAAATCCCCACACCCAAACACTGCGAACAGGGAGAGCAGAGTTTTGTCAGGTTGTTCAGCTCAATGCCCGTGTTATCATTTACAGCTGGAGTCTTCCTGAGACTCTCGGAGCTTTCAGCAAATGGGAACTATGATTAATTTAGAATTGATTTGAAAACCTGAGAGTCAAATGTAGTATCTTCACATTTAAATGTAACATCTTCCTAAAATGAATGGTTGTTTTACTAAGAGGTAGGGTACCACAAGTGAATGGATGTATGTCTTCTCTATAATCACGTTTTAATTTTTTTTTCCTGGTTTGTGTGTTTTTGTTTCTCCAGACCCTCCCTATATCTCAAAAGCCAAGAACACTGGTGTTTCTGTTGGTCAAAAGGGCATCTTGAGTTGTGAAGCCTCTGCTGTCCCCATGGCTGAATTCCAGTGGTTCAAGGAAGATACCAGGTACTTTAAAGGAACTGGGAGATCTCTGACACAGGACATACATCCCCCAGAAGGAGGATAATAAACTTCAGGAGAAAAATTAGCAAGATAAAAACATATAATCTCCTTTTAATGGAGTCTCCTTTTAGGATCAGAAAGAAGAAGAAAAAGAAAAAAGAATAGAGGAACCTGGGAACTCAACAAAATGGATTGACCTTGTTTTAGAATCTTGGATTAGTTATAGACATGGTAGTGTCTAAGTGAGTTGACCTTCGAGTATGACAATTTTTCGTTACTTATTTACTTCCTGATAGAGGATATGACACTTATGGCTTGTGGTGCTGGGATGGGCAAGTCAGGAGAAAGGGTATTTGAACAGGACCTCATTGCAGTAATTCTAAGACCAATCTTTGCATCCTTTTAGTACCTGGCACTTCCCTTGGCTGGTGGGTCCAGACCAATAGTGCTTTTCTCCTACTGCAGGTTAGCCACTGGCCTGGATGGGGTGAGAATTGAGAACAAAGGCCGCATATCCACTTTGACTTTCTTCAATGTCTCAGAGAAGGATTATGGGAATTATACCTGTGTGGCCACAAACAAGCTTGGGAACACCAATGCCAGCATCACCCTGTATGGTGAGTGCAGGAAGCCTGGATCTGGAGGGCTTGGCCATTCGAAGGAGCTCCAGGAGCTTGGGAGGGTGTCAGGCAGAATCTGCTTGGCTTGTTTCCATCCATATTGTTCAGCCCACCACCCTCAGCTAAAATATACTCCTCCTTGCCATTCCCCTGGCATGTCATGCAGTCATGTTTCCAAGGTAATTTATTTTGGCCAGGTTTGCCCCATGAAATGGGGAGTAAACCAAATTGTGAATCAACTGTGATTGTGAATTGCATATGGGACAGAGAACCATGGGATGGTTCAACAGTAGTGTCATCTGAAGACACATGAGAAGACAGACGTGTGTGAGAATAAGAGAAATAATTGTAAGACTGATGACTTCCATAATAAGAATCCATACTCCTGGGATAGCAGTTATAGTTTTCAGCCAAGCAACTCTTGTCATCATGATTCTCATGTAGACCATCAGACCATGTTCTCATATGGGGATAAATGAGGAACAGAAGGCTGACTCCTCATCAGCAGACCCTTCTATTCCTCATAAAAACTCAGGTCTGTTTTTCTCCATGGATGGAGAAACCTGGGGAGTCATGAATGGCTACTATGGAAACCCTTCTTTTTCATTGCTCCATCTCCCTATATTGCTGTGTCTGTATTTCCATACAACATTTCATCCCACAAACTAGCATCAGCCTATGGTAATATTTCATGCATGTGTGTATGTCTGTTTTTGCTGAGGTGTAATGAGAGGAAAACATCCGATGAACAGGATGTAGAAAGACTCATTTTTTCCATGTGTACCTCAGATGTAACAAGCTTGACATGTACTGAACTTTGTCCACCAACCATCTGAAATGTGTGATCTATGTCTTTTGTTTTCTCTCTGCATTGTGTGTGCATTGTGCTGTGTGTGTCTTAGAAATAAGCCCCTCATCAGCAGTGGCAGGTGGGTACAGCATGTTCCTTCCTTTCCCTGCCTGCTTGAATGCCTATGCTCTTGTATTTTTAAAGCTACTCCAAAGATAGGCTTGCCTGCTCCCTTCCCTAATATGTTCTATGTAGTAGATTTCAAAGGGATGTGGCTTGACCATTTAGATAATAAGCATGTAGAACATAATGGCTTTTACACATGCTTAGGGGATTTGATTAGGAAGCTCAGAGAAAGTGAATGCACTCTGCCACCCCATAATAAACATCTAGTGGGTCATTGCTTACAAGGAGGAGATCTCTGCTATTTCTGGACAGGGGTGTATTGTGAGGAACTCAGCCTAGAAACCAAGTAGATTATTACATGAATTTTTAGAGACAAATTCCCCTCCTTTGAATGTTTTGTTTTGTTTCCTTTTACCAAGATTAAGAAGGATACTGACTTAGTTCTGAATCTTTATTTTTAAATGGAAATTCCTAGGATTATTTTGCATGATGGCAATATATGTTATTTACTAAAATATTTCTGCTTTCTTGGCATCATGTTAGAGCTGATAAGGTCAAGTTATTACCTCTATTTTACAGATTAATAAAAGAAGAACCAATAAGTATAGGTTACATCAAAATATACACCAGGGAAAGATAAATGTTAAATGAAGTCCAGACTCAGGCATGTTATCATGCACCAGAGTGTTTTCTCAGAGAATAATCAAAATAATCAAAAGGTATCTTCATTTATACACTTAGACATTTGGACATTTGGGTATGCAGCCCTACATCCAGAAGTGAAAGCCTGTCCTCTCTATTTGTCTAAGACATATTGATTTTAGTCTTATGGAAAATTACAGTGTTTGTATTTCTATCATCAATTTACACAGCCATGGATTCATGCCTATTAAAGACATACTCTGCCAAACCTTGATGGTCATAAATATTTGTTCCTTAGTCATGACACCACTAAATGGAAAAGAGTAAGAGTATTGTGTTGTTCAGACTATAATGTTTATTCATTCGTTTGGCTAAGAAAGTTACAGAAGTTGAGAGAATATGGCGATTAGAAGGTACTAGAAAGGATGACCAGATGACTTGAGTACTTGAGTTATTGTCCTTTTCTGCTGTCAACAGGTGAAGAGTTGTATAATTTAGAAATAGACTTATGCCTCACATAGCCTTTCTTCTGAGCTCCAATTGGAATTTAAAACAAAATGGAGAAATAAAAGCATAAAGAAAAGAGAGGAGAAAAAATATAAAAGTCAGCTAGCTGACTCATGTGTCTCTTAGAAGAACACAAGTGATGTTCTAGGGGCTCCACCTCTATGACCTGATTTAACCTAAGTACCTTCTTATAGATTCCATATCTAGATATAGTCATGGTGATGGTTAGATAACATAAAAATCTTGGAGGACAAAATTCAGTTCATAGTACAGACATAGATTCACATCTAAATTGGCAGTCAAACTCCTTTGATCTTTCTTTTCGTCAACTAGGCTGTAAGAGTTTTCTTTTGTGCCTACCTCAAAAGAATGAGGAGAGCATGAAATAAAGGAACCCATAAATCAGTGTAGATACGTGACCCTGAGAACACCTGAAGACTAAAGGCCGCAAATTACTAACCTGAAATTGGAATGATCATGAATTATCAGTAGAGCAAAGTTCATCAAATAGCTGCAACTACTGAACCTTTTCTATAGATGCTGAATGCTATGATTCTTTCCAGTCTTCCCACATTTACTGTTAATTGGCCCATATGATCACTCTTTCTATTCATGGACCTGACAGAATTATTGATTAGAAATACATCTGCTTTTGTTTCCTTCAGTGTCTCCTCTGCCCTTTAACTCTAGAACTCTTGAAGCCTATAAGCCACCTTGTCTTTACCTAATTAAAATCTACCTCCAGGATCCATTCCTGAAGTAAGGCTTCCCTAGAGCCTATGCTGATCAGCATACCACCACCACCACCCCCGCCGCCACCACCACCACCACCCCTGCCGCCACCACCACCACCACCCCCCGCCTAACTACACACATGTTATATCTTGATTGTCCCATTGTGTTCACACATCAAGTAAAGGCTAGTGTTCATTTAACAAGTATGCCATCTGTAGCTGCCTCAAGCAGGTACAAGGCATTGTTCTGAGAGATGGCCATATAATCACGACAGATCTAGAGTGCCTTCTTCTATAGCCTTTATGTTCAAATTGCAACTTTTTCTTTGTTTCTTTGATAAAACTCTTTTGCCCATCAATCCTGTAAGCTCTATGGACATAGGAACTATGTTTTAGCTATATATCTGACATCTGACTTGAAGATTCACACATAGTAGCTGGTCTAGAAAATTTTGTAGATGATGATAAGATCTTATTCAAGATGCCAAAAGTTCAGATGTCAGGAACTGAGATGTGATGAGCTAGCTGAGTTAGGGGTTTGTCTCCACGGTCTTAGCGCTCAGCCTGTGTTATTCCTTGAATGGTTGCTTAGTGAAGTTCTTTCAGTGAGCTTAAGATTTTTACCTATGATGGTCCTTTGGGTAAGATGTCCCCTGTGGTCTCCACAAAGGCTCTGATGTTAAGATTGATGATCATAGATTTAGCTATAGAGAAAAGAGAAAGTGTATTTGAGCTGCCTTTTCTGTTCACCACAATACTTTTCCTGTCCTCAATGGCCTATAAGTATACCTACTTACAGCCACAAATGACTGGGATGTACATGACCACGACACTGGGTCTTTTTATGATTCTCTCACTTACTGGGCATATAAGGTAAACATTTGTCCTGGTCTGATTTTATGTGTGTGAAAATTGAAGCTAAGGCAGATAACTCAAATCACATCAGGTTGTAAGCAGCTGAACTATGACTTGAGCCACACGTTTTAATGCCAGGGCCTCAGTTTTCAAGTTCTACTTTAGTTCAGCCCATGGAGGATGCTTGAGACCAATTAGTATGGAATCACATATCAACAAGTTGTCTACCTGAGTCATCTCCCATACCAGATCTGCCCTTCTCTAACCGTCTTCCCTAAAATCAACTCTTTTGAAAGACAACTTTCACATCTACCACCTGCATATTCATACTTTCCAGACACATGTGCAAAGCCTAAGTATGTCTTTGTGTCACCTCTCATAAGGTCTATATCTGGTATTTGACAATCTCCCTTGATTTTGCCTCTGTGGTCCCAAGACTTTTTACTTATCTTCACACACTTATGTTTCTGTATGAACAAGCAATAAGCAAAAATGAATGGGGTAGAGAAAAAAAAGTTTAAAAATTTTAAAAACAAACAAACAAACAAACAAAAACCCAAAACATGCTATACAATGGAAAAGGTGGGTGGGGGAGGGGATACCAAAAAATTATTGGAAAAAGTGAACAAAGCATAGGCAGTGGGTGATCATTCTAGTCAGTGGTTGGTGACAGTGTGCAATACTCCTTTATCATAACACTAGTCACCTCCATGTCACAGAGCCACTAAGACACAGCTTCAGGCAGAGGCCACCGAAATAGCATATTACATCACAAACCCTGTTTGAGTCCAGGCATCCTCAGAGCTGGTAAAGGAGCAGGATTCAAAGAAGAAACTTGTCATGCCAGTAGGGAGAACGGAGATCTGGTGTGACAGACCTGACATGGTATGGTCAGCTCCTCAGAGCTCAGCAAAGTACAAGGGCAGAAGGAGATTGGTAGCTTGCAATTTTCAGTTCTATGCCTCTGTTCTGAATTTGAGAAACAGTGGGAATATAAGAGCATTTCCAAAGGACAGCGTCTTAGGTAAGGTTTCTCTCGAAGAGACGTCATAACCATAGCAACCCTTATAAAGAAGGCATTTAATTGGGGCTGGCTTATAGTTCGGTGGTTTAGTCCATTGTCATCATGGTGGGAAGCATAGTGGTATGCAAGTAGACAGGTACTGGAGAGGTAGGTGAGAGTTCTCCGTGTAGATTGGTAGATAGTAGGAAGAGAGAGTGATACTGGGCCTGGCTTGAGTACTTGAAACCTTAAAGCCTACCCCAGGTGATACATTTCCTCCAACAAGGCCATACCTACTCCAACAAGGCCATACCTCCTACTTATGTACTACCTATGAGCC